TCTATATTAACTATATATAGTTATATATATAACCATATATATATATATAACTATATATATAGTTATAACAATAATATATAAGTATATACCATATATTATAGTATTACATATCCTATAAGGTAGATACGGTATGTAAAATATATGTATTAGATACTGGGTTGTATAATATATATAAAAAATATTTTTTTATTCTATGTTAATTAATTAATATAGCTATATTATATATTAATATTACGTGTTTACATGATTTCTATTCTAAATAAATGGTTAAAAGTCATCAGAATCCCAAGGGAGCTGGGGGCTGTGGGAGCTCCCAGATTCCTCACCCCAGGAGCTCCAGAACCTTCTCTGGATATTACGGAGCACAACACCCAGGGGGGAGCCCGGCATGGAGCAACAAAATAATCACATTAGATTAAATGAGTTCAATTAATGGATTTGTGCGTTCTCCTCTAGGGAGAGGCAGCGCTCCCATCCACACTTGGGATCCACATCTTCCCTTGGATCACCGCCCTTCCCACCCTCCTCAGACTATTCCTCTCAACCATTCTAAAAACGGGCTAAAATCCCCTGGTTTTGGGTACAATTATGGGAAAAACTCCCAGATTTTACCTTCCTGGCGGATTTTTACACACAAAGCCACCCCCGGCAGACACGGCGATAACAGGAAGGAGCCATAAAGCCGTGAAAAGTTTAAAGACATTTATTTAAAATACAATTTATAAAACGTTTTCTTTCCGGCGCAGGTTTGTTTTTATTTTTTTAATTTTTTTTTTTGGGGGGGGGAGGGGGGTGGGGGTGGAAACCCACGGTGCCGCGTCCATCCTCCCCCTCCTCGGGATGAAGGCGCTTCCCACAGGAACGCCGCCGAGCCCTGCCCGCGGGCGGGACGTGTCCTGGGCACCGTGTCCCGGGCACCGTGTCCCGGGCACCGTGTCCCGGCGCCGGGACAGGAGCAGGAGCAGCCGGAGAAGGAGATTTCAGTGCTGGAAAAAGGGATTTCGGTGCCGCAGGTGGAAATTTCGGTGCCGGACACGGAGGAGGCAGCGATGCGGCGCCCCACCGGCCGCTCCGGAAATCCGGTGGATTCGGGAGGTTTTTGGCTATTTTGAGGCTATTTTTTTTTTTAGGAATAATTAAGGAAAGGCGCAGTGAGTACAGTTATTGCTGACGTCCTTCTCCCTCACGCTCCCTGCTCGGAGCTCATCCCAGCCCCCAGGCTGAGGGGGATGAGTGAGATCCCCCAAAAGTCCCCAGGATCCCGGGGGGAATCCCGGGGGAATCTCACCCCACCCTGAACCGAGGAGCTCATTAAGGTTCCCGGGATCGCTTGGATACACAGGTAGTTTCTATTTTCCCGTTTCTGTGGGATTTCAGCCTCATTTCCTCACAGGGCTTTTCGTGCACATCCAGACTGGCTCGTTCCCCCTCGAACGTACTGAAGGCAGCATCCGGATGCAGGAATCCATCCCAGACCTCCAGATCCTGGCCCCTCCAGGAAGAGCATTTAGTGTTCATCCAATCCCTTGAT